CTCTGGAAATACGAATGAACCAACCTCATAAAATGATCTCAAAAATGCTGTTCCATTCTGTTTTCTAGAATCACACATGTAAGAGGCATAATCTGCTCCTGGAAATGTGGGAGGTTGCTCCTAACGGCAATATGATCAGGACAGGGCCTTTTGGAAGGCGATTCTTTGCTTCCCATGACAATTTCTTTGATATTCTCTACTCTATTTTAGTTTTCTATTTCTTCCTGTCGTTTTGACCTTTATATCTTTCTAGAAATGTATCCATTTTATCTAAACTTTCAACTTTATACGTATAGAGTTGGTTGTAAGATTTCGCATTTTAAAATGTGTGTACAAACAGTCATTTCCCCTTTTCATTCTGAATCTCCTGTATTTTCCTTAGGAGTCTTGCCAGAGGTCTCATTAAGTTTTCATTGCCTCAAAATTTGATTTTGTTTGTCTTCCCTATTTTTATATTTCATTGAATTCAGCTTTTGTCCTTATTGTTTACGCGTATTTTCTTTTTGCTGTTTTTCTACTTTTCCATCCTCTTAATTCACATAATTATCTCGTTTGTTTTCAGTCATTTCGCTCTAACAAAATTGTTTAACAAATAGTCTGACATTCTATGCAGCATTTTGAATGAACTTATTTCATCTTTCTATAAAGACTAAACATTATGTTTTCAGTTATTTCTCTCCCTCCACTATTTCCCTGACTTTCTAGATGTCTAATTATCAAGATGTCAGATGTCTGTTTCTATCCTTCATTTCTCTTCACTTTTCCTTTACATTTTCTATTGTTTGCTCCACCGTATTTTCCTTGGGGCAGTTTCTCAGCCTGACTTTTTGCTTATTAATTATACTTCAGTTGCAAAAGTCCTATTTATTATCTCATTTATTATGTTTCTTATTCCAATCTTTATCAAAGCTCAGTATTTGTGCTTGATTCGTTGGCTTCTTACTTTTGCTTCAAATTTCCAAATTCTCCTTTACTTCTCTATTTAAGCCCTTTTATTGTGAACTAGGGGACATTTGGAAGAAGCACACAAACCAATAGAATGTATGTTGAATGATTATCACCACAAGCACCCATGTAACTAGCACCTGGGTGAAGAAATAGACTGTTGCCAGTATCCCTGTGCCTTTCCTTAGGCCAGGAGGTAGTTTGTAAACTTTTCAGGAGCCAAAGGCTACTGATATCCATAATGCCTAGCATTGCTCCTGGTACACAGTAGGTCTTCCATAAATATCTCTTGTAGAAGTATTTTATTATTTATTTAATAGGTACTTCTTAAATATTTTCCACTTTCAAGGATTCCCACTCATTTGAAGTTAGTTGCAGCCATGTGATTTACATTGGAAAATGAGATGCGAGAAGTGTGTTCTTTTTAGGAGGGATCATTAAGAGCCAGTGAATGATTTCTTAGGTTCCCTTCATTCTTCTGGGGAGGTTCTGGGAGCAGAGGTGCAGGAGAAAGCCTGTCAGCCTGGCTTCCTGAGTAAGACGATGAGCAGAGCTTCCCGGACGACTTACTTTGGATGTGTAGCATGAGCCAAACCTGGATATCTGGGTATTTGTTACTTTAGCACAGCTGATCCTATTCTTACTGTGTAAAAGGAGTTGAAGGGAAGGTGCTCAATGAGACTTCAAATAAACTGAGGGACAAGAGGACTAGGAGGATGTTTCATCCCATAAGCCAAGTGCACAGGAATTTCAGGGACAGTTTAGAATGCGACATGCTGTAAAGACGTCAACTATGGCAAGTGTTCACTGGCCTGGTAGCAAGTGGTTATTAGAACTCCTTTAAAGAGCATCTTCACAGCCAGTGCCCAAATCCCACCTCCTTCCACTTTCACCATCCCCTGGCTCAGCCTCACTGCTGCTTGACAAATGGGGACAAAGAAAGGGTGAAATGACTTCTCCTTAGGGTACCCCTTGATCACTACCTGAGGCAGCATCATCTGTTGGGTGGACCACCTTCTCCTTAGGGGACTCTGAGGGGTAGAAAATGAAGGGACCAGGTGGAAAGGGATGGGAGGTACAACACTCAGCTGGGAGTCCTAAGCCCGTTGGGTTTGTTCTACTGCAGGTGTCAATCTTTCTGAGTCAGAGGCTGACACAGGGGAGTCACCAGCTTCAGCTCTCCTTTAAAACTCCAGTCCCAGCTTTCCTTTGAATCTCTGCTTTTCAACCCCAATGACTGATGTACCTCAAGACTCCTCTGCCTCCTGGCTGCCTTTGATCTTTCTGCACATAGCACTCAGCAAAGGGCCTGAAATTTAGAAAACTCTCTATAAATATTGAAAATGTGAAGTGTAGTGACAAGGTGGTCCCCAGTTTGGATGGTGTCTCAGCTCTTGTCTCCTCTGGGACCTCTCTCTGCACTGCATCCTTCCTTAGAAATCCCAGAGCTTCATAAATACCAGCATATGTCAGAGTGAGACACGTGTTACACTATCTTTCCATGACTGCAGGGCATTTCCTCATCTCCTTATACCCTCAATTCCCTAGGAGCACATATCCTGTTCCTGTAATGTGGGTGCAGATCCCTCAGCTTCTGATCCTGCCAGGTGTTAGTCCAGAGATTGTTCACTCCACTCTGGGTACTCCCTAACCTGTAACGTGGGTACAGGTGACAAGCATGGAACAGAATGACTCTGATGGGATATGGTTTATAATGTTGACTGCTCAGTGCCTCTGAGGGTAGGATTTATGTGCTCTGGGTCTGAGGATTTCACAGTGATCTTGATTTGAAGACTTTCTGCAATTCTCATGACCTCTTTCCATCGTTGAATCCCTGGATTAAAATAATATTAATTTTCTGCTGCATAGGTTTCTCCCAAGTTGGCTGTGAAGCTAAAAGGGAAAATAAGACAGAAAAAGGGTCCTCATTTATTTACTATATATTGTCCTGGTTACCTCATCATGTGACAGCTGAAATTACTACACAAAAACAAGGCAGCAGCATTTTCCTGTATAGTTTTTGAGAAAATGAGGCTGATTAGTGACATGGATGTTTTAAAAAGAAAAAATGATTGTGTCCTATTCCCTAGGTTAAGAAGACTCTACGAGACATGATTGGTTTTCCTTGTGGGTGGCTTCTCTTTCCTGACTCCCTCACCTCGTGATCCTCTCTGCAGACTCTAGCTATATTTACTTATATCTGTGCCAGTGACATCCAATCTGTACCTTCAGCCCCACTTCTCTTGGAATTGGAGGAAGCTGGTCCCCAGATGCAGGGCATTATTTGCAAGGGGAGGTGGGAGAGAGAAGCACAGTAGCTTGTGGGAATCGTCCAGGGACAGGCGCCCAGGGACACATAAGGCCCAGAAGAAGCTTGTAAGAAGCCATGGAGAGGGAAGGCATCAACTGGATGTGTCAGAGAGCTGCTGAGCACTCATTATGTGTATCAGGAGCGAAGAATCTATCCTCTTCATGAAAAGGAAAGCTTACACCAAACATGTCTTCTACCTTGACTGAAAGGTGTCAATATGAGGCGAAAAACACAGAATGATGTTGGATTGAAAAAAAAAAAAGAAAGAAAAAATGACCAGTGCTTGAAGAAGAGTGCTACACATATTGCTTTGCTCTTTTCCCAACGCGGAGGCGTTTCTGTCTATGTGAAAATGAAGACAGGAGGCCGAGGCTGGTGGATGAATGCAGACTTAGAGGATAAATCACGTCTACTTGATGCATTCGAAAGGCCAAGCTAGATTTGGTTAAGGAGTATTTGTGATGGCATGTGAAAAAAATGTTTAAAGGGTATTAGATTATATTTATAATTTTAAATTCTGATGTTCATTTAATTTCTTAATGCTAATGATAAAACGTGCTCTCAGTAAGTTGTATGTTGGATCAGAGCTGTGTGAATATGGGTCCTAACAGGCAGATTTGCAGTCTGTTCACCATGGAATAGCTAAGAATAGTGGTCTGAGATCTAAATGGATGAAGGCACTAAACTTGATTTGGGGGCAGCTCACTTAAATCCAGTAAATTCAGAAGAGTGCCATGTCTAACAGGACACAGTATACAATAGTTAACATATCCCCATGTTCACGGTGTTCTTCTTTCCTGCATGTAAACCAAAATGAACTGCTTTAACTCCTACTGTTTACTAAAACCCTTAAACAAAAGTGATGAGAGGTGCATATTTGGTGCGTATTTTTAAAAGAAAATAAACACTCATGTTGGGTTTTGATTATTTATGGCGCTGAGAAGAAGGGAACATGGTTGGAGACCCAGTTCAAGAAACTGTGCATCAAATCAAAGAGCTGAATGACAGAAACTGGCTTCAGGGCAACTTCTTGGCAGCTGCATCCTTTGGGAAGCTGGGGGTCTGTCCCGGTACCAGCCACTGGTGCTAACGAAACACAGAAAATGCTTGTTCCAAGGCACATTAGTCCTTTTGATGAAATCAGGAATGCTGTGGGGGTAAAAGACAAAGTTATCCCAGGTTGCTGGCCTCCTTTCTTTAAGTCCCAGGAGAGAAAAATCATGGTGAGAGGCTGAGTCTCAGGCTGATAAAGAACAGATTTGATCTCTGCTTCCTTCAGCAATGGAGCCATGCAATGCTCTTTCCCCACTCACCCGAGAGCTGAGGTTGAAAGAGGGGTTCAGGCCTGAGATTCTCTTCCTAGAGGAGCCTCAGTGTCACATTGCACAGAAAGGACTCATATCCTTCTGCAACCCACCCCACAAGGAAATCAAAGCAGGAATATTACCTGTTTATACAGATCCTCGTTGAACTGAAATGAAAGAGAAAAGGTTATGTATTCAGTCATTGAAACCACCTCAGATAATTCAAGAAACATTTCCATCCCACCAAATTCCACTGGCCATCACTCAATGGACGTCCCACAGGAGACTGAGTACCTGGGACCTCATGCATCTGGCTGCATTAAGATCCCAGCCTGGGATACCTCTCTCCATATAGATCATGTTTGTTCTCTATCTGATTTCAGTGGCCTCTGCATCTTTCTGTCATTTCTTTTCTGTCTGAACCCCTCATCATGGAGTAAGTGTGAATATGCCAGGGAAGGTAAGTCCCGCTCACCCTGCAGGCCTTCTCACCTTTCTTGCTCCTCCTGTGCATGAAGATGCCCACTCCGCAGGTGATGAGCCCCAGCACGAAGCCCCCGGCTCCCGTCAGCATCTTACTCCGGGCAGAATCAGACTGTGCCTCTGGGAAGGACAGACCCAGGTTTAGTGTCACCTTCACCAGCTGCGCCCCTACTCATGTCCTGTCTGAGATTCTGGAGCCTGATGCAGAGTATTAGGATGAGGACAGTCTTGGGGGGAAAGCTTGCTTAAGAGGAAATTCAGAAAGAGCCGCCCTCATATCTGGAACAGAGGGTGTGACCTCAACAAGGTGGCAAATGCTGATTCTAGAAGTTGCCTCTCAAAAATGCCTGAGAAGAGGCTACAATGCTGAAGGAGGAGAACAGTTTCCATGTGTGAGGTCAGTTCAGGAAGGTGTCTGTGTCCCTAGATTCTCTGACAAGGAGGAGAACTATGAATCCTCAGGACCCCCTAGGCCAGGGTCAGGAAATCTCCATTTCCCCAGCTTAAAACTATGCTCAGGAGCTGGCATGGAAGAAAGATGGGGTTGGACATGGCCCCAGGGTATAGATGCAGAAGACAGGATGAGTGGACCTCAGAGCCAGAGAGTCACCTACTCTTCAGAGGTGGGGTCTAGGAGGTCATCAGAGACTAACTCACTCCACTCCACGGTGACAGGACTGTCCAGGCTGGGGTGCTCCACTTGGCAGGTGTAGACATCTCCCTGCTGGGGGGTCATTTCCAGCATCACCAGGATCTGGAAGGTCCAGTCTCCATTACGGATGAGGTTGGTGGACACGACCCCAGCTGTTTCCTCCTGTCCATTCAGGAACCACCGGACTTGAATGCTGCCTGGGTAGAAATCTGTCACATGGCAGACGAGCAGGTTGTGGTGCTGTAAGGGCCCCTTCTTGGAGGGGGAGACGTTCACCCTCGGCTGGACTAGGGATGGGGAAAAAAAAATGTGGGATAGCATTTGAGATTATTCTTTCTTTCTTTTTTTCTTTGAGACCGGGTCTCACTCTGTCACCCAGTCTGGAGCGCAGTGGTGCAATATTGGCTCACTGCAGTCTCAGCCTCCCGGGTTCAAGGAATTCTCCTGCTTCAGCCTCCCGAGTAGCTGGGATTATAGGTGCCTGCCACCACACCCAGCTAATATTTTGTATTTTTAGTAGTGGCGGGGTTTCACCATGTTGGCCGGTCTGGTCTCCAACTCCTGACATCAAGTGATCTGCCCTCTCGCCCTCCCAAAGTGCTGGGATTACAGGCCTGAGCCACTGCCTCTGGCCAGATTATTACTTCTTAGGCATGTTTACTATGCAATTGATTCCTAGATGTTGAAAATAGGAATAATGTGATTAGGCCAGTGGGTAAGGGTGACACTGAAAAGATAGAAATAGACCTTCAAGTAGAGCATGCATGATCTTGAGTAAAATAATAAATAATAAGTATATAGGGGAATGGTGGGGATTCAGAGGTAGTACTCTGTAGCACGTTTAGGAGAAATTTTAACTAAAAACAATTTGGACAAAGAATATTTAATCAAATGTGAAAATTCCTATATTTTCAAAGTTCTATCTTGATACAAATGATGTAAAATTTACCCAAATAATATCTTGAAATTAAGATATACAGACAATGGCATTATGGTGGCCTATTAATCTAGTAACTTTATTTCATGAAAATACAAAGAAAACAAAGAGAGCTTGACATGTCTTATTCTGCAAATAACCTATGTATTTTTTGACCTCACCTACAAATATTCAAAATCTTCGCATTTACGTATTATCCTGAGCCCCTACATGCTTGAGTAGTAGAAATCCTGCCCTTTCCAAGTTCCTCCTCTGTGCTGTGTCTTCAGGTCCCGTGAAAGTTTCACAGATGACCAGGTATTGCCTCCCTCTGCATTTCTGGATTTGTACCCCAGCTTGTTCTGTTGTTCTCGGGTCTATTTCCACACTGCCACCTGCAATTTTTCTTTTGGGTCTCTGCCACCAGTACCTTTTTCCTCCTCAGAAGGCACAAAAGGGCGGGCATGGTGGTCATGCCCATAATCTTAGCACTTTGGGAGACTGAGGTGTGAGGAGCACTTGAGCCCAGGGGTTCAAGACCAGCTTGGGTAATATAGTGAGATCCCATCTCTAAAAAGAAAACAATTTAGCTGGACACAGTGGTACATGTATCTGTAGTTCTAGCTACATGGCAGGCTGAGGCAGGAGGATCACTTGAACCTGGAGGCTGAGGCTGCAGTCAGCCATGATGGTGCCACAGCACTCCTGCCTGGGAGACAGCGCGAGAACCTCTCTCGAAAACAAACACAAACACAAAAACAAAATCCAAACACAGAAAAGGGTCAACTGCCTCTAGAGAACAGCTTATTCAGAGGACTCCCCTAGAGAATAGCTCTTTCAGAGAAATGTCTCAAATCAGTCTTCTAGGTCCCTAATCACTCAGTTCTTTCTTTTCTACTTCCTGAAGAACACAAATACCCTGACATGGGGCCAGGCCAGGTAAAAGCACCATCTTGAACTGACGCAAAACCCTTACTCCCTATGATATATTTGCCTTGTCTATGGACTGATCCACATTGCCAGTCTCTTCCCTCAATGTGAGTTTATTTCAGGGGCACCTGGGTCTCACTACTTCATCACCTCTGTAAACTCAATGTCCATTAAACTATTCAACCCATTTCTAAATCTCAGTTGTGAATTACATACAATTTCTTTCCCACAGAGCTCCTGGGAACCATGAAATCAGGGGGAATACTTGGGTGTCTGTTTTAAGGTATCAGAACTTTCCATGAGAGGCATCTTGCTCAGTATTCTTTGTCAGGAGTTGGTCAGCCTGGAGCACATCAGAGACCTCTAGGGGGCGCTGGAGCTAAGGCTTGATACCCAATGGCCTCATTTCTGACTCAGTACAAATACGTTTCACCAGGGGAAGGATTCCTGTTTGTTCTAGTTGCCTTCACTAATGCCCAGAAAACATTTCTCAATTACTTCTAGATTTGGGTGGGCATCCACACTGGAATTGTCACAACTCCTTTCCTCCTCATTCCACCTCTCCCCTGCCTCTGTGTTTTCCCTGTTCTAATTCATGCCTTCATTGCAATTTCCCAGACAATATTAGCAGTTTCCTACCTCATCTCCCTGCCTCTGGTCCCTCCTCTACCTAACACCCTTAGTAGTGTTCTGAAGACATGGCTCCAACCTTCTCTTTTTCATCTTTCAAATATCTTCAGTATTCTGATAATACTTATATGACTACATGGGAACTTCTAGGCAGCTGATTACAAACTTTGACCTCCAGACCTCCCCACCCAGGGAACCTGAGTCTGGGGGCAGTGAGTCTGGGGATCTGTGCATCACAGAGGATCTCCGGGAGAGTCTTTGGAGGAGTGAGGCTGGGGACCTGCGGGCCTAGAGGAGAAACCCACATTCCTTAGGCTGGCATTACTTTTATTTGAACAATTATTAAGTAATTGCATTACTTTTATCTGAACACCTCTCTCAACCAATTACCTCAGCAACTTGCCTAAACTCATATCACTCACCTCATCCCCACCCAGTGTGTCCATTTTCTCACTCCTAGCAGATGCACTTCCTTCCACTTTCCAGGAACAAGGGGATCAAAGGTGTGATCTCCCCAGCTTCCTCCTCCTCCCTTCATTTTTTTCTCTCTCAAGGACAAAGGTCCAGGGCTCAACCCCACACCCTGATGCTGCTCCCTCAGGTCCCTCAGGTTGGTGCACCTGGCTCCCCACCCCACAAGTTCACAGGAGGAAGCCAAAGCTCCAAGGCCCTCTTGTCCCATCCTTGAGAAATCCTACTGCACACACCTCACCTCTCTCCACCCCTTTACACCCAGACTTCCTGAAGGAAAAGAAGAATGAGCTCAGACACTGCCCTGTGCCAGCCATGGGGAACCCAAGACAACTAAAATCCATCTCAGCCCGGAGGAGGATGCGCAATACTCAGCCTCATCCGACCCCTCCCATTCCAGCTTCCACTGCTACAGGCAACCTGCTCTCCCCAGGTCTCCCTGGTTTCCAAACCCACTTTCCATCTTCTGTTTTCTGACCTTCCTAAGTCACTGGCCCCTCTGTCCACTGTGCTGCTGAGGTTCCCTCCCTCAGCTTCCAGGACTCTTTTTTGTGGGTCTGTCCTCCCCTCAGCCTCCAGGACTCTTCTCTGCGGGCCTCTCCTCACACTACACTTTGGTTTTCTTGTCTCCTTCACTGGCTCTTCTCTGTTGGCCAAATCACAACTGTCCAGTTCCCAGGATCCAGTCCTTCGCTCTTCTCCCTGGGTCCCCTCACCCTGGGAGGTCTCATGTAGCCCAGGCCCCTCCCCGGCTTCAGACCCTTCTCTCTACCTGCCCATCAGACCATCCATCTGGCCCCTAAAGCACCTCAAACCCAGCCGTCTCCCTGCAGGTTTCTACTCTGCATGGCCTGCTGTGCCATCTCCACCTCCATCTCCACACCACACCCCTGCAGGCTCTCCTGTGGCCTCCTTTTTTCACCACACATGCAGTCAGCTGCCAGGTCTGATGAAGTCCCGGGGGTCCCTCTGCTCCCATCCTCCTCACTCCATGCTCAGCCCAGTCCAGGTCCCCACGCTCCCTCCCCTGACATGCTCTGGATGGGCTCCCCCTGTCAATCCCCAGCCCAAAGTCCCCTTCCCGCCTGGCACTAAGGTCCCTTAGGCTGGCCCCGCTGCCCCTGCTCTCTGGGCCCGGTCCCCGCGGCTGCCCTGGGACCCCTGGCCCAAAGCCTTCACTCACCTCGGCGCTTCCGGATGAGTGGCTCCTCCAGCTCGTAGTTGTATCTGCACACACTGTCCACCTCAGCCCGCTCCCGCTCCAGGATGTCCTTCTGTCTGTTCCAGCGCTCAGCAGTAGGCCGTCCCAGCTCTGTCACTGCCCGGAACTCCCCCAGGTCGCTGTCGAAGTGCACGAACTCCTCCTGGTTGTAGATGGATCTGTCCAGGAGGCGCTGTGTCCCGTTAAACGCATAGCATTCATACCGTCTCTGGTATACGTAAATCTCTGCAGGGAGGAGGAGGCCATGAAGGGGGGAGGTGTACTCTCACCTCTCACCTAATCCGCTCTTTCTTCCTCTCTGTCTCAATATTAACGATTCTTCCCAAATCTTCCCACTCTGGACTGGATTTTAAAATAGGAGTTTTCATTGTACCGAGTTCTGTGGTCATAGGCAGGTCGCAGAGCCTCTCCAGGCCTCAGTTTTCTCACTACACAGCAAGAGGATTTACTGAAAAGAACAAGACTCACTGCTCGGGGGACTGAATGATCACTAGGGAGGGGTGAGCACTGAGGGGAAGGCGGTCCCTTCTGCTGGTGGCTGGAGGAGGGGGAGACGGTTCACCTGTCGTCGCTGGGAGAAACAGTAGGGGCAGGAGGAGTTGGGGACATGGAGGGTGGAGGTGCTCCCCCTGCCCAACTTCCTGACATTTCCATCCTGGTCTCTGTCCTGGCTCAAATGTCACCTCTTCCAGGAAGCCCTCCTTTCCTTCTTTTTCTTTATCACAGCTAGGGACTCTCCTCTGCCAGTTTCTTGAGAATTTCTCAACCTGCTCCTGTTGTTTTGCATTTAGGAAATGTAGAAATATATCATTAAAACTTTCTTCAACTTTGGTAGGGGACCTGGACTGGGCCGGGCGTGGTGACTCACGCCTGTAATCCCAGCACTTTGGGAGGCCAAGGCGGGAGGATCATGAGGTCAATAGATCAAGACCTTCCTGGTCAACATGGTGAAATCCCATCTCTAATAAAATACAAAACATTAGTTGGGCATGGTGGTGAGTGCCTGTAGTCCCAGTTACTCAGGAGGCTGAGGCAGGGGAATCACTTGAACCTGGGAGGCAAAGGTTGCAGTGAGCCGAGATTGCACCACTGCATTCCAGCCTAGCGAAAGAGCAAGGCTCTGTCAAAAGAAAGAAAGAGAAGGAAGGAAGAAAGAAAGAAGAAAGAGAGAGAGACAGAAAGAAAAAGGAAGGAAGGAAGGAAGGAAAAGAAAGAAAGAGAAAGAAAGGAAGGAAGGAAGGAAGAAAGAAGAAAGAGAAAGAAAGAAAGAGAAAGAAGAAAGAAAGGAAAGAAAGAAAGAAAGGAAGGAAGGAAGGAAGGAAGGAAGGAAGGACTCTATAGCCTGAAAGTTAATTTTCAAACATGGATGCAGAAAGACTTGGTGTCGAAAGATGTAGAAAATATCTTAATCAATGAAAATCACCACAACCACCAGAGACCTGTGGGAGTGCAGTCCTTTGGGTTTAGAGGCATTGAGGTAATTTTTTGGCAGTTTTTGTGGTTTTATTTAAACACAAAACGTGGACATGAGCTTTCTACTCGTTTTCTTTGCTGAGCAGCCCGGCATTGTGGTTGGTGACTCTGATGGCCAGCTGGGTGGCTCTTTCCATGATGGGTTTGTGGTTCTTGGTGGAAACTTTCTGAGCCATCTCAGCACAGTAAGATTTGTGGCACATCAGCACTTCAAGCTCCTTGACGTTGTGGAGCAGAAACTTCTGGAAGTCACTGGGCAGCATGTTTTGTTTTTTTTGTTGCTCCCATAAGCAATGTTGGGCATCAGGAGCTAGCCCTTGAACCTTCTATGAGCCCTGTTGTTAAGATCTCTGGGTTTCCACCAGTCACGCTTAATTTTGATATGTTGGTCTAAGTGGTGCCGTATGAACTTCTTGGTCCTCTTTTTGATGATCTTAGGCTTCATGAGGCGTCTGAGGGAGGCCATGATGTGGGGGAAGAGATGGCTGCCAGCTGCATAGGCAGCACAAAGGAAGAGAGCATTAATGTAATTTTTACATAAAGAACGTTGGCAGCCTTTCCCACATGCTGTTCTTCCTAGGGAGTGCCATGAGCAGTGTCTGGCAGGTGTATGTCTACATAGAATTATCAATGACACAGCACTTGTTTGTTTCTGTTTGAGTCTCTTCAGGCCTGCTCTGTTCTTGGGCACATTGGGGAAATTAAGGTGCTATGGTTGTTCTGCTCGTCTATTTCATGCTCTGCAAGTTAACTTCTCCAGTTTATTAACAACACCCCTCACAAGCTGCACAGCTGGCGGCACAGGATAATGGAGATGGAGTGGGGCTGGGCTCAGGGACACCACACAGTCCATCTTTAGTCTCCAGTGTCATTGCTAAGGCGAGATCCCAGGTCTTGACTCGGATATCCTGACCTGCTTCTCTTCCTGGTGCCTTGGGCCCCAACCCCCTAAACTCCCAAGCCCAGCCGCCCCCAGCCCTTTGAATCCAGATTCCTCCTCCACTGCCACCCACCCACTCCTCCGTGTTCAATTGCCCTGCTCTGAGTGTGGATTCTCCCATTTTCATTTGTTAGTCTTTGTTTCTCCTTTTCATTCACCGGTAAGAGAACATTTTTCACTCAAGAATAAGAATTTTGAAATTTTTCTTTGCAACATTTGATTCTTTTTTTAAAAAAATTTACCCAGTCTTAGATATTTTTTAAAAATATATTTAACTTTTTAAATGGACTTTTACCTGCCAAGTAGACATAAGTGATGAGGGGTTTTATGATGTAATTTGAAACCTTTGGTTTTGAATATAAGAAAGTTCATCCTGTTTGTGGAACCCTTAACAATTGAGTTGCCCAGAGCACAGTTTGAAACCACTGAGCTGAATGAATTCATCTCTCACTCAGAACAGGATATATTAAAAACTTCTAGCTCCCTATGGATTGTCTCAGCCAAGCTTTTCTCCCCCAACCCCTTTAAGCCACAGCTTGGCTCCTCGGTCCTTTCTTCTTGTGCTGTTTGAGGATGGGGATGTGTGTGGAGTTGGAGGAGCATGCAGTACACTGTGGAATTGGCCCTGCCCACTCTACCCACTTCCTTATGGCCCCAGCTCTCCCTCCAGCAGGTTTTGATTGAACATTCATTCTACGCAGGGAGCTCCGGTAACCCACCCTCGGTCCCTGTCACATGGCTCTGCTGCCTCATCTCATTCCCCCAACAACCTCAACCCAGCCTTTGCCCCTCCCCACGTTCACTGCCCAGCATCACATGCCCCCTTCTGCTCTCTGCTCCCCCATCTCTGGGTTTCCTTGGTGGCTCCCAACACTGCCCCTCATCCCACACAACAGCTCTGCCTATGGGATGGGGGCGCCGCATCCCCTCACCTCCTCCTGACACTGATTAGTGTCACCAGAGCTACTCCAACCTCCTCTTTCCCTAGCCTCAGCCCTCTCCAGTTCCCAGGGCTGAGCCATCCTCCTGGTTAGTTCTCAGCACCCCTCTGTGACTACAAGTGCAGGTTCTCCTCCCCTTCCCAGACAATGAACCTGAGGTAATGGCTTTGAGGGGCTGTCCTTAGGAGATTCCAACATTGTTATCCTGAAAAATGAGGAGGTGACATGATGTCAGTACCTTCTAGGTGTGTCCTAGGAGGGGTGTGGAGGGGTCTAGGAGGAAGGATCTAAGCAGGAAAGGTGGAAGTCAGTGGAAAACTAAGGTACCTACTTTGCAGTCCTTCCTCTTAGGGTGTTGGTGTAAATTTGGACTAGTAAGAGAATCCTGAGAGAAAAACAATGGCTCACAGAAGACATAATATTACACCAGCCACAGGGAGGCAGCGGGAAGAAAAGGCTTTTCCGTTTGTTACTGCTTCCTTGGCTGTCTGATAACCTACACTCAATCTCTTTCAAGCACCCATACATCCTCATCACATTCTTCCTACAAGTCTCAGCCCACCTTAATACTGTAACCAAGTTCTGTGGAAGCTGGGAGAAGTACCTTTAATGAGAGTGCCTTCAGGAGCTAGAACCCATACTCAAACCTCCCTCCTACCTTGCCTTAATTGTCCAAAGGGCGTGGGATCCTGCTCCTACCTGGAGAATGATCCTCAGAGCCTGGACACTCCAGCTAAGGGCTCTTTTCCTGAGTCCCCTCCAGACTGGATGCAGATGTGAGCATGTCCAGGAGCCTGCACTTGCCAACCTCTCTCTCTGCAAACCTTGTCTGTCCAAGGTTATCCTGGATCTCTTGGCCCCATTTCCCCAAAGACAAGTATCCTGACCACTGGGCACCTCTCTCTGTTTGCTGTACCCACATCCTTGGAGAAAGAATAGGCCTGTAGGGTAGCAACCTATCCTGTAGCGGATGAGCCTCATTCTCTAGCTGGGAAGGGAGGACACTGGCTTAGTGCAGGAGCCCCCGCAGCCTGTCTCAGGGTCCGGTCTTTTAAAGAGAAAGTCCCCTAGGAATTGTTCCCTGAGCCAGACTCTGCAGGAATTGCAGCTCTGCTCTTACCTGGAGTGGCCCTGCCCTGGACCACAGATGTGAGCAGCACCATCAGTAACGCCGTCAGAGTCACTGTCCAGGGGGCCCCAGAAACTGGCAGAACCATCATGGAGCTGGAAAAGGATGGCAAAACGAAAAGAGTTGCAGACAGGAAAAGAAAGACTCACTAAGGGGAGCTCCTGTCTGAATTATTAGAGACTATGAACCCAAGCAGTCTTCTGTGACCCGGGGATTGGACAGAGTCTGAGAAAAGAACCAATGGACACTGAGCTTTGTATGAGTCATCACTCACCGGGCAGATGGTTAGTGTGAAAGGTCTGAAAATATAAAGCCTGTGATGCAGTTAAGATGACAGAGGGAAGACAGTGATACTCATTTTAAGCAGTCAGATAAGTCATGAGGTTTGGGGAGATGATGTGTTTTCTTTACTCTGAAGGTGATCTCAAATATTCTGCTGGCCCATCTACGGGGATTATCATTTCCCCAATTCTGCCACACCTCACACACCCACAGGACATGGTCTGTTGTGGAAGAAGCGCTATCTCAGTGTGTAAAAGACCATTCAGTGGCATGGTTTAGAGGGATTAGAGTACCCATCCCAGAACTCAGATGAGGCCTGGAGTCTGTCTGTCTTGCCTTTGTCCAAAGGTGTGTTTAAGATTAGCACCCATTTATATTTACTTTCTCCCAGAGGTCTGTGAGTCCTGCGATGTGCAGGGGATACTAGGTTCTTCCATAGGACTGTCATCAGGGTCAGCAGGGCTCAATGTAGGAACCTTACACCGGGAGCATGGACACACCACCTACCCTGCCATGTAAATATGCAGCTTTAACGACACTGCTTCTCTTGGACTTCAATTCCTTGTCTTCAATATGGGGATGATATAACCGGCCTTATAGCAAACTCTTAAAACCAAATGAAACCAATAGGTCTGAAATTTCTTCGGAAAAATAAAACCATAGAGAATATAAATTGACCAGCAAATAGGGAAGAAAGTGAAAAAAAACAATCAAAGATCCCACCTCCTTCAATCTGATTCTATTTTGTTATAGTGAATATTTTTACAAACTTCCAAAGAACATTACTTTTTACTTCAGACACTTATAAATGTGATCCCACTGGACCACTAATTCTAATTTCAAAAAAAAAAATCAAACTGGCATCATTCATTTAAAATGTAAATAGATGTCTATAATGTAAAATGCAAGAGAAGAAAGAATTATGCACTAGAAGGTGTCCAGTAGGATTGAGGGGCCAGGAGAGGATTGTGGAGAAAAGCTCAGTTTTCTTAGTAACTGCGCGGGTTGGACTCTTCTCCTTGTCATTTACCTGCCATAGATAATTAGACGGATACTTAACTCCTCAATGTCTCAGGTAGTTTATTTTTAGAGTAGGCATTAATAATACCTCCCTCAGATTTATGTGAAGATTAAATGAGATAATGCTTGCAAAGCACTAATAACAGTGTCTCTCATGAACTAATCTGTTAGTAATTATTATTTATGCAAGGTAAGGCTACCACAAACAAGAAAAAATATTAATGTAATATTAAATGTTTTGTGACCTTATCCATGAGTATCAAAGAAATCGCTCAAATTTGAAATATTTAAAATGAGACTAGAAAAGTAATTTCTTAAATGTGGTAATGAGAATATAAAATAAAAAATGAACATTACATGTAACAGAAAAGCATTAGAGAAACACTTCTCAAAAACAAGATCAAAATATGGGTGCGCATTGTGACCACAGGTAATGCTGTCCTGGGTATTCTTATATGAAAATGAAATAACATGGTAATTTAAACATAAAAATGTTATTACACAGTTTAAATACCAGGAAAAGTCAAATACTAAGAAATCTAAATAAAAGTTATCTAAAAATTTCACTAACAAAGGTAACAAGGAATAGATAAATACTTAAAGATCAACTTCATTCAGGTTAATTAAAACCTCTAAATAGAAATTATAACACTTCTGCAGAAATGATTACATAAAAAGGAGATATCTCAGGGAGGTAGAAAGAAAGAAAGATTAATATATATTTTATTAGATAGCGCATTCATTCTTAATTATCAGCAGAATATTTTTGTAAACTTGGCAATGTAGCATAAAACATTACTTAAAATATAGTGACCAAAAATCATCAAAGATCATCTGAATGTCTGGGATGGGGGTGGGAGTGGGGTGAAGGAACATAATAGGAAACATTTGCCATCAGAAGAAGATGTGACTTATCTTTTTAAGTCTCTTTCTCTAACTCTGAAAACGAACTGTGAACTGAAGCTCTCTTGACCACGCTGGTACCTAAAATTCTCCCATCTCTTCCCCAGCACCTTCCAGCATCCTCTTTACCCAGCAACAGAGAATGTCAGCTCTATTATTCCTCTGATTGGTGAAACTCAGCCATGCCGACTCCTCTCCACCCATTTTGACCATTTCCAGTGCTAGAAGCCCACAGTTTCAGGGTCTCATTTGCCTCCACCCGGCCTCAGTTCCTCATCACTGTTCCTGTGCTCACGGTCATCAGTTATAGACCCCACAACATGTGCCCTGAGGACAGAATGTTCCAGACCAGAGCTGTGATCTTGAGAACCCTTTCCTTGGCTTTCCTGCTGAGTCTCCGAGGAGCTGGGGCCATCAGGGGTGAGTGCTCAGGAGAATGCAAGAGCATCGGGGTGAGTGGTGGGGAGGCTCACATCAATTGTTGCTTCAGGAATCAGAGATTTTAGGGGCTCATTGATCTGTCTGGCCCTCATGATAGTCTGTGTTCCCTCTGGCCCTCATAATAATAACAGCAATAGCAGCCAGAATTTACAAGACACCTGCATAGTTTCTTTCCCCATTTATATCTTACAGGAAACTTCAAGGAAGATATTATTCCTTCATTTAGAAATTATTCCCTTCATTTAGAAATTATTCCCTTCATTTAGAAATTTTTTTAAAAAACTGAATCTCCAAAAGATGAATACATTTTCCAAGGTTACACAGCAGATCAACGAGCCAAGTTTGAAGTCCAGACCCAGCTCTGAGGGTCATACACTGCCTCCCCCAGATTCCTGCACACAGTGACCTCCTACCAGGGCCCTCTGGGCCCCCATATCCCTCCCATCTCTCTGGGATCCCCAGCCTCTGTCTTTGGTGGCTGCTTCACAGGAACTCCGAGCTATGGGCTCTGCATTAGGAGAGAAAGTGCTAAAAGTGTTCTTGTATCCTCCCTTTCTTCCTAGGACCCTACGGCTCTTCCTGGGCCTTTGTGGGTGGTCACAAGCTTTCCTCTCTCAAGACAGCACTATTGCATGGTCTTGATAGCCTTGTGACTTGGGTCCTGAGAGGTCCAGGACTGCAAGGGAGGCCTAGGCTTTGGAGAGCTGCAAGGACTCAGCCAGAGATGGGCTGTGGTGAATGCTCTTTCTTCCTGTAGCTGACATCAGGGAGAATGACATCAAGCCTGTGTATGATGCTGTCATCCCGAAATCTAGTGATGGGGAAAGTTAGAATCCATAACGTACAAGATGCACACTGGCCTCAGACAGTTTTATTTAAGATGTGTAGAATAAAGAGGAGGTGAGGCTGGGGAGACCAGAAATATCTATTGTCCTGTTCATGGTCACCTAATGTTATGTTACAATAAGCACCACAATGGGCATATCTTCTTAGATTTGAATGTGTTTTAGGATTATTGATAGAAATTCCTAATTTGCTCAGCTGTCTCTTCAGGGTTTCCCTCCCCAGTGGTTCCTTGTCTCTTAACATTTAAACATGTCCTTTACCTTAAAAACATAAGCGCAAACAACTAACAAAAAACAACCTTGCCTACATCCTACCCTAGAGACACTCTCTCTGTGTCCTCACAGTTGGAGCTAAACTTCTGACTTATGTCCACTAGATCCCTCTCATCTTGGCCATCAGGAACCTCTGCAGAAGGTCAAGTCCAGTGGGTTCTTCTCAGTGCCTCTGACTTGAGTTACTAACAACATTTGCACTGTAATCCACTTCTTTCTGATGAACTACCCTGTCCTTATCTGTCTCCTGTTTCTCTGGATCCTCCTTATCATCCTTTAAATCACCTCTTAATTATCATGTCCTCTCATCATAGCCTGAGGTCTCTGCAATTCTGACTTTTGGCACTCTTCCTGGAAAATCTCATCTAATCTGCCCCTGCCACTAATGACTCTCAGTTTTCTGGCCCAAACTCCTCTCCTGAGACCACTCATCATCCACAAATATCTATGTATTATTTCTCCTTAGATGACTTCCAGATCATCTACTGCAATAGCCCCACAGTGAATTCAGGATCTTCTCCCAGTCAGGCTGTCTTCCCTGTGAGGAGTGGCTTTTGCCCTGTTTTCTGAATGCCTGCATTGAAGCCATCTGTTCCCCCGGAAGCCATTCCCGATGTGTTGTTTGATCACATGTTGCGTATACCCATGTATCTGCACTTATCCTTCTGAACGTGCTGTTGTCTTGTCACTTGTGTTTCCTTCTGTGAATTGTACAAGTCTGCAGAACAGGACCTATGTGTTATTTTTATTTGAATATTTAGCATCTAACAGTGTTTGACATATAGTAGTCTTTTAATACTTATTTTTGTCTGAATGGAAATGACATTTTGAAGTAAAATAACCTGTTTCATATCTGGCTGATCTTTAGACAGCAGAACTTGTGAAAATGTTTTTTAAAAAGCATTTTAAAAAATACATGGGACATTCATGTTTTAAGAAGATGGGTTCCCAGTAATTGCTAGAGGACTTTGTGTCTTTTTATTTTACCCTCTTTTTCCTGATGAGTCCTTTGAGTCCTTTAAACTGAGGAGGAAGCTAAGTTTCCTTGTGAAACACCTATAGGATTTAATTTATTTTGTTTAATTTGAAATACCACTTGTGCTTGGCCACTTACAGTGACAGGGAGTCATTCTCAGTGAAAAATAAGACACAGGTCATACTCTCCAGATACTTACAATTACAGTGACAGGGAGTCATTCTCCCTGTCACTGTAAGTGGCCAAGCACAGACTGGGTCCCCACATGTCAGGGCTGTAAACTCACAGGGAAATCCGTGAGTTGGGAGGTGAGAATAGATGAGCCCTGTGGTCCCTTCTCACTCTCATGCA